AAAAAAAAAAAAAAAAAAAAAAAGATTCAAACAAGATATTCATTATAGTTATTGTGAATAACAGGTAGAAACAACCTAAATATCCATCAACAGGAAACTGGTAAAATAATTATGGCATATCCTAATAATACTGATGCTATAAACATTGCTTAGGTGGATATACAAAAAAAGTTTTGATGTACAAAGATATTAAAGAAGAGTAAATACCAAACTGTTAACTCTTCTCTAAAAAGGGGGACTGTAATTAGGAACTATCACTTTCCATTTTATACACCTTTTTATTGTTTACATTAAAAAAATTTTATCTTATATTGGAGCACCATTGATTAACAATGTTGTGTTAGTTTCAGGTGTACAACAAAATGATTCAGTTATACATATACATGTAGCTATTCTTTTTCAAATTCTATTCCTATTTAGGTTATTACAGAACATTGAGCAGCGTTCCCTTTGCTGTACAGTAGGTCCTTGTTGGTTATCTATTTTAAATATAGCAGTGTGTACATGTCAATCCCAAACTCCAAGTCTATCCCTCCCCTCTACTCTTCCTCCCTGGTAACCATAAGTTCGTTCTCTAAGTCAGTTTACATATTTTTTAGTGAATTTCCTTTAAAAAAAAATTCTTTTTCATTTTGGAAAAATTGGGGAAAAAAGATTATCTGGCCCTTTTCAAAAATATTCTTCTTTCAACTCTTTCCATTAAATGTCAAAAATGTGGGAATTCCCTGGCGGTCCAGTGGTTAGGACTCGGCACTTTCACTGCTGGGGCCCAGGTTCAATCCCTGGTCAGGAAACTGAGATCCCACAAGCCTCGCAATGCAGACAGAAAAAGGATTACCATTACAAGGACAGAAAATATCTAGCTACTCTTGAAGGAAAAAATAGCACTTAGAATTAATGTTTAAAATAATGTAATTATAGAAACTGAGATAGAAAGTCTAACTCAATACATGTAATGTAAAATTATTCCAGGAAGCAAAAAATGAAGCTATTGTGTAGTTTTATTTTTTTAATATTTATTTATTTATTTGGCTGCATTGGGTCTTAGTTGCAGCACGTGGGATCTTTGTTGCAGCACATGGGATCTTTTGTTGTAGCTCATGGGCTTCTCTCTAGTTGTGGCCCGTGGGCTCTCTAGTTGTGGCGTGCGGGCTTAGTTGCCCAACCAGGGACTGAACCTGCATCCCCTGCGTTGGAAGGCGGATTCTTAACCACTGGACCACCAGGAAAGTCCTCTATTGTGTTTTTTAATATTGTTTTATTTCACAGTAAAACATTGTTTCTTTGGAAGCAGAAAAAATGTTTCTAAGACATACTGAGAAGCTCTATTAATGGAGTTTATATCAGAATGTAAAATATTATTTCCTATAGCTATTACTTAAAAATATATTTTTTAAAATGAAACCTTAAAAAAAAAAACTAACCTTTCTGTTATCCGGCAAAAAATAAAAGTATATACAAACAATTTTGGGGTGGGGGAACAGTTGATAAATGAAATAAGAAAAATAAAATAGAAAATTACATAATAGGACTTCCCTGGTGGTGCAGTGGTTGAGAATCCGCCTGCCAGTGTAGGGGACATAGGTTTGAGCCCTGGTCTGGGGAAGATCCCACATGCCACAGAGCAACTAAGCCTGTGCACCGCAACTACTGAAGCCCACACACCTGGAGCCCGTGCCCCGCAACAAGAGAAGCCACCGCAATGAGAAGCCTGCGCACCACAACAAAGAGTAGCCCCCGCTCACCCCAACTAGAGAAAAAGCCCATGCACAGTAACGAAGACCCAAGCCACCGCGAAGCCTGCGCACCACAACAAAGAGTAGCCCCCGCTCACCCCAACTAGAGAAAAAGCCCATGCACAGTAACGAAGACCCAACGCAGCCAAAAATAAAAATAAATAAATTTAAAAAAGAAAAGTACATAATATATCAACTTGGAATGGCTTTTATTAAAGATTGACTTACTCTGTTCAGTTAAGGATAACTTTACATAACTCTAATGATGAAATCAGTTCCAAGATTGTTTTTTTTTACTATACCACACCTATCCAGCCCAAAGTCACTAAAAGAAATGAAATTTAATCTTTCACCAACCGCCCCCCACAAAAGATAAATATGTGAAGTGATAGCTGTGTTAATTAACCAGATGTGGGAATTCTTTCACAATGTAAATGTATATCAAATCACCACAATGTACACCTTAAATATCTTAACAGTTTTGTATGTCAATTACACCTCTATAAAGGTGAAATAGGAAAAAAACAAGAAAAATTTCATCTTTCCTCCTCTCAAGTAAACAAGTAACTACTTAAATTGCTAGATAAAAACTTGATATCTAGGATTTATCTTTAACAATTACCTACCTTCTTCAACTTGCTAGTTTTCATCAGAGTGCTAAAACCGAATTTCTGCTAGTAACAATTTCTTGAATTTTGTCCACCTTAAAATAGTGAAAAATTCCAGGTTTTTAAGTTCACTGGAAAATCAATAGTTAACATCACTCTCAGCCACACTACTATAATGACAAGACTATCAAAAGTGAAATTTTATCCATATTTTTAAAGGACTTAAAAATTCTGAAAACAAAGAATCACCTGTCTGCCAGGATGGGGCCCTGAATTGTGGTAAAAGAGTAGTTCCTGAAGAAGCAGCCTGAGCAGTTCGGGATTCAACACCAGAGAGAAAATTCATCACTGAAGATTCTTTAGTGTTAGTGCTGGCATTGTTCACACTAGTATCAAATATTCCAGAAAGACCTACATTTGAAGATAAAATGTATCCCAAAGTAAAAACATATGTTAATATAAAATGATATTCCGGATCCTATTTTAAAAAGGAATCTCTGACATTTGAGGCCAGAAGTTCTACAACCCTAAACTGTTTTATTATGAATAGCAACAAATATTAATTTGCTCAAGCATAATTATAATTTAAAATCTACAGAATGAAAAAAAGATCTCCCTACTAATTAGTTATACAGATATTCCCTAGCAGTAAAAGACAAAGCTTTTAATCTCATTTTCATTTTAACATTTCCCATGAGACTGTTATGTTCCGTATACTTTCAGAACCCAACATGTGAAAATTGATTTTTCTTCTTATTCACTAAATGTACCCAGATTTGTGGTATATTTCATAAGAGAAATTTTACCGCTTGGCTGAGGTGTGGCAGCATATCCAGGAAGCTGATGAGAGGCTGCAAAAGTCCGTCTCTGAAGGAGATCTGTTTCAGAGTGAGAAGGATGTCCTTCTTCATAGCTTAAACTAGAGGATGATAAAAATAAACGACAAAAAACACAGAGCTCAAACCAGATGATCAAAAATTTCTAGGAGAGCAATTATCAAAAGTAGGATAAGTCTTTGACTAAATTCCTGACCTACAGATCAAGAGATCAAACACAGTCTGACAATACTGTCAAAATGCGAGGGAACATACTGAAGATACACTGGGAAGAAAAATAATACACAGTATTTTTCTTAGTTCAACTTTACCTACAACAAAGTCCTTTTACTGGAAGAGGTAACATGGTACATTGGGAAGAGCAATATCCTGGAAAATAGGAGAGCTGAGCACTGTCCAAGTGCTACTACTGGCTTACCATGTGATTTCAATAAGTGACTCTATTACTGTTGGACTTACTTCCTCACCTGTATGAATAAGGGACCCAGATAGGATAATCTCTAAAGTCCCTCTAATTCTAACAGTCTCTGGAATATAGTAGACAGTTCAAATGAATTGAAAATTAACACTATTTCCCAATAACTCTCCTAGAAAATTTCAAGCTTATATATCTTGAGAGTAATTCAGAACAAGATATTTTTCTCCCCTTGATTTTTATTCTGAATATTTTAAACCCACAGAAAAACTGAAAGTTCCAATGAATAACCTGTATACCCATCACTTAAGTTTCAACAACTGTTAACATTTTGTTATATTTGTTTTATCTTCATACACAGACATATATACTCCTTTCTTTTAATCTACTTGAAAATAACTTGTGGACATCATGAAACTGTATCCTTAAATAATTCAGTTGCATCTCCTAGGAACAGGACATTCAGCTGTATAACCAAGTATCATTATTAGACTTGAAGAAATTCAACACTGTCATTATAACATGTAATACAGAGGTCACATTCCAATTTTCCTCAATTGTTGTCAAAATGTTTGATATTTTAAAGCTCTCTGTAGGATGCAATCAAAATTCAACAATTACATTTGGTTATGTCTCTTTACATTTACAACAGTGCCTCCACTCTGCCTCTAATGCCAAACTCCTTTTGCCTTGACTCCATGGACACGGACTTTTTATTTTGAGGGATCCAAGTCAGCTGAATGTAAGCTATCCCAAATTCTGGATTTGTCTGATTGCTACTTCGTGAGAAATACATAATGATGCTTCGTAATTCTTATTGCACTCATGAGGACACACACGTCAGTCTGTCTCACTGGTGATGCTAAACTTGAAGTGGTTAAGGTACTGTCAGATCTCTCAATGTAGTTATTTCTTCTCTTTGAAATAAGTATGCAATTGTGAGGTGTTACTTAAGACAGTGTCAGTATCTTGTCCCAACAGCTAATGGTTTCAGACACCCTGCATTCATGATCTTCATTTCAATTATTGCACTGAAGATTAGAAACAATAGTGTTCTAATTACACTACCTTCCATATTTAAAAGTTAGCGTTCTTCTATAAAATAAAAATTAGCTTTTTTCCCCTTTTCTCTCTATATACGTACTTAAATATAATATATAAAATATATACTAATGTTTTTTAATGTATATACGTTATGCTTAAAAAAATATCATTGTAGACTCTTCATATTTAATTTATTGTGTCCCTTCAATCTTGTTTCCTTTTGGGCTTCCCTGGTGGCGCATTGGTTGAGGGTCCGCCTGCCGCTGCGGGGGACGCGGGTTCATGCCCCGGTCCGGGCAGATCCCACGTGCCGCAGAGCGGCTGGGCCCGTAAGCCATGGTCGCTGAGCCTGCGCGTCCGGAGCCTGTGCTCCGCGACGGGAGAGGCCACAACAGTGAGAGGCCCGTGTACCGCAAAAAAA